TGTCCGAACTTAAACGGATTTGGCCTTATCCAGGCCAATGTGAACCACTCTCCACAAGCTCAAGATCTGCTCCAGCAGAGCATGGTGGAGAGTGGTTTCACGCTGGTGATCGTGGCCGAGCCCCACCGCCCCCCGAGACGCAGCCCATACTGGGCTGTAGACACCGGGCAGGCGGGGGACTCGGTCGCGATTCGATGGCGGTCGGTGCCGGGTGGTCCCGACACGGCCGCCATCGAACAAGGGGAACGGCACGTCGCCGTTCAATGGGGGCCCATCGCGGTCGTCGGGGTCTATCTGAGACCCTCCAGGCGCCTCCCCCCCTTTGAGGGCTGGCTCTCGGACATCGGGCAGACGCTCGTACGCCTGAGTCCGAGGCCGGTCCTCGTGGCCGGGGACTTCAATTCGTGGCATACGAAGTGGGGTTCCCGGCGCACGAACAAGAGGGGTGAGGCCCTGGACGAGTGGGCGGCGATGCACGGGCTGGTCCTCGTGAATGAGGGCCAGACCTCCACCTGCGTGCGGACGCAGGGGGAGTCCATTGTGGACCTCACATGGGCTACCCCCTCGGCCGCGCGCTTGATTACCGGGTGGAGGGTGGAGCGGGACGTCGAGACTCTATCGGATCACCGATATATTTCGGTGGAGCTCGGCGTCCTCTCCTCCGTGCGTCGCCAAGAGGAGACGCGACCGCGATGGGCCCTCCGGAAGCTCCGTGAGGATGACCTGATGGCCTCGCTTGAGGCCGCCTGTTGGGTCCGGGGAAGTTTTTCCGGGATCCGGGAGACGGACCCCCTGCCGAGTGGATAGGGGCAACGCTCACCGCGGCGTGTAACGCCGCGATGCCCCGATCCAAGGCTCGGCCTCGGCGGGCCGTCTACTGGTGGACGGCAGAGATCGCCGACTTGCGTCGACGAGCCGTCCACCAGCAGAGGAGACTCGCCCGCTGCAGGCGCAGCGGCGGACAGGCGGCCGAACAAGCCAGGGAGGCCAAGGTAGCCCTCATGCGGGCCATCAGGGTGGCCAAGGGCAGGGCGTGGACGGAGTTCCTCGACTGCCTACAGGAGGATCCGTGGGGGCGCCCATACAAAATGGTTCTCAACAAGTTGAGACCATGGGCGCCCCCGCTGACGGAGCGGCTGGACGTGGGATTCGTCCGAAGGGTGGTGCAGACCCTCTTCCCCGATATTACCGGGGAGGTCGAGGGGCCACCCTTCGAGTCGGGGGAAGACTCCCCCGACTGGGACGACTCCCTGGACGTCCAGCCGGAGGAACTCCTGAGGGCTGTCAGGAAGGGCCTTAAGGGCCTTAAGGGCCAATACAGCCACAGGTCCTGACGGCCTTCACAAGCGTGTCCACGCCCTGGCTATGGGCGTCCTTGCGGAGCAATACGCGCGCTTATATAGCGCGTGTCTACGGAGAGGGATCTTCCCCCCGCGGTGGAGGAGTGCCGCATTGGTACTCCTCCCAAAGGAGGGGAAAGATGCCTCTCTCCCGTCGGCGTATAGGCCTATATGCCTTCTGGACGAGGTCGGTAAACTATTCGAGCGAGTACTCGTGAACCGCCTCGTCCAGCACCTGTCCCTGACGGGCCCCGACATTAGCGGGGCCCAGTACGGGTTCAGAGAGGGCCTGTCTACCATCGACGCTATTAAGCGTGTACGGGCCCTCTCTGAAGAGGCGACGTCCCAGGGGGGGGGGGTGATGTTGGCTGTATCGTTGGATATATCCAACGCCTTCAACGCCCTCCCCTGAGGACGAATCAGGGAGTCGCTCCGACGCCGTGAGGTACCGTCGTATCTCGCCTGCGTCGTGAGCGACTACCTGAGGGACAGGTGGGTCGAATATATCGACCAAGGCGGCGTATGCCGACGGGAGAGACTGCACCGGGGAGTGCCCCAGGGTTCCGTGTTGGGACCGTTCCTATGGAACATGGGGTACGACCCGGTGCTGCGCGTTCCCCTCCCCCCCGGCTGTCACGTCGTCTGCTACGCAAACGACACGCTCGTGACGGCCGGGGGCTGCAACTGGGGGGAAGCCCTCTCCAGGGGAGAGGTGGCAGCCGAAGCAATAATCGGCTCCATCCGCAGTCTGGGCCTCGAGGTGGTGATCAACAAGACTGAGGCCGTGTTGTTCCACGATGGGACACACGGCCAGCCACCCGAGGGACTCACCCTGACTGTGGGTGCAACCCCCGTCGAGGTCAGGCAAGAGATGAGGTATCTCGGTCTGATACTCGACGGCCGATGGAGTTTTACGAGCCACCTTGCCGGCGCCGCGAAAAGGGCAGGGGAGAGGGCGGCCAAGTTAGGTCGTCTCCTCCCCAACCTGGGTGGCCCGGACGGCAAGGTGCGCCGGTTGTACGCCAACACTGTCAAGTCGGTAGCGCTCTACGGGGCCCCTGTTTGGGCTTCTCAGCTCGCGGCATCGAGGCATGCGCGCGCCAATATGGCCCGCGCCTTCCGCCCGATTGCCGCGAGAATATGTAGGGCCTACCGGACGGTAGCGTAAACGCGGCGGCGGTGATCGCCGGCCTCCCCCCGATGGAGTACGCGGCAGAGGAACATTACAATATGTTCCTCGAAAGCCGTGACTCCGAGGGGATGCCGATTCGATGGACGGCGAGCCACCGTGCTCGGAGGCGACTCCAGCACCGGCGGCGCGCAATCGCCAAATGGCGAGGGGTGTTAGTAGCCTCGGGGGACACTACCCCGGGGCTCCGCGTCGTCGGTGCAATCGGGCCCCTCCTCGACCAGTGGGTCGATAGAGGATGGGGCGGGTTGTCCTTCCGGATGACGCAGGTGCTGACCGGGCATGGGTGCTTTGGTCACTACCTGTGTCGTATCGGGAGGGAGCCACGCTCCGGCTGCCACCACTGTGCGGCCGAAGACGACACCGCCCAGCACACGCTGGGCGAGTGTCCGGCGTGGGCGGGTGAGCGGGAGTCGCTCACCCGCATTGTGGGGCGGGACCTCTCCCTTCCAGCGGTGATCACCGCTATACTGGAAGAGGAGAGGTCCTGGCACGCATTTGCCTCCTTCTGCGAGAAAGTCATGTCGCAGAAGGAGGCAGCGGAGCGGGAGAGGAGGGGGGAGATCCCTCTTCCCCGCCCGCAACAACAGCGACGGCAGCAGAGCCGGGCTCGGGGAAGACTTCCCCGGGCCCGGCCTGCTCGACCTGCCGCGGGGGACGGGGGGGGGGAGCGGAGTCAGGCGGGGGAGAGGCCGATGGGGAGACGAATCGGGAGAGGCTCAATTGCGCACAGTGC